CTAACCAAACCAGCTATGGTTAGTTCAGAGGGATTTCTGCTTATTACAGAGCTGTTGAGATCTACTGTGGGTGATGCGCACGTGCTTGCTTAATCATATCAGCAAAAGGATACTACAGGTTGGACCTTGCTGGTCCAGCACCCTTGGGACCTGACTGGTCCCGAATGAGGGGATTTGCCAGACCATGGCTGGAACTGGAATTGTGCAACTGCTTGGCTCTGCAGCCAGGGCCAGAGCTGGAGCTCTGTGGCCAGGGCCAGAGCTCCCTGGCCGCTGCTGGGGCTGGAGATCCATGGCCGCTGCTGGGGCCACCATTCCCTGCTGTGCCGCTCATTCTCCCTCTTTTCCCCCCCACACACACTGGATTGCTGGTGCCCCCTATCATGCTCCTGACCCACCGCCAGCCCTCCCTGTTCCTCCTGGGCATTGTGGTCCAGGAACATCTGTAGTCCATGCCGGACCACGGATGTTGCCGGACCAGGGACTTCTGGTTAAGGGAGATACAACCTGTATTTTGTAGCTGTTGTACAAGAAATGCCATCATTTAAAAGCATTGTTTCCAGGAATGATTGGTACAGATATTCAGCTTGTTTTGGGAATGGGAGGAATGCTCCAGAATATCAACCATTTGTGTTCTTTATCGCCTTTTCTTTCCTCAAAGGATTCGACACTGGGCCAGAAATCTTGTGGCCAACAGAAGATTGGATGAGTCCCCACTGATCCAATCTTTATATCTTCTGATTCACACTGGACTTGGCCAGTATATGATAATTTTAGTGTTGTTTCCTGTAGCTTGAGTGCAGCAGCACATTTTAGAGGCAATGCCAAAAAGAACAGAAGAACGTGGTTGCTTTTAAGTGCTGTTGGATGGGCTGTGTAATAGGAAGGAGATGTACAAGTATTTCGTTGTGCCTTTCTCCCACATTTCTAGTTCTTTCTGCTCATCTTAGTGTAGCAACGTATCTATGGGGAATTTAATTTGTATTGCATACTTATAACTAGCATTAACAATATGTATTGGAATGACTGTGTACCGTACAGTATTTGTCACTGTAACCGAAAGCATTAAATCCTTTAAAAATGCACTTTTATACAATTTGTAAGTCATAATGCACAGCTAAGCAGAAAAAAAATGTTGATTACTTATTAGTTGTCTTAAATCTGTCCAAATGTAACAGTTATCAAAATACCTGACCTGAAGTCTGTTAGTCTGATACATAGTATTCTCCTGGTGTGGTGGTCTTATACTTGCATACCCATTAACTCAGGATAAGTCTGCACTACAATTAGGAGGCATGATTGCAGCTCCTTTAGGCATACTGGAGAGAGCTAGAGATCAAACTTGGCTTGAGTAACAATAGCTGTGTAGTTGCAGCTCCTTTAGGCATACTGGAGAGCGCTAGAGATTAAAGCTGGTTTGAGTAACAATAGCTGTGTATCCATGGCAGCAGGCTCACCTCCTATTTGGACAGACCTGCCCATACCTGATTGCTGCTGTTGGAATTAAATCAGAGCTTGTTTTGGTTTTCACACATGATCTGCGCTCACACCTCCTGATTGTTGTGCAGGCTCTGTTACAGCCCCACAGGAAATGTTCAAAAATAATTGTACCTCATGTTTTCAGTGTTACTGATTTTTTCAGAATTGTATATTACTGGGCTATGTCGTCATCCCCGCCCCCCTTAGAAACTTTAACTTACTTCACATCAAGTTACACATGGACTCCTTTGGAAATAATTTTGTTTGAGAGCTTAGTGCTTCTGTACTGTGGCAGACTGACACCCTTCAGTTCTCTGCTCAAGAATAAGTAGAGCACAGGCAGCAGCAATGCAAGTTTCTCCAACTGTTGCTGCCATTGTGCATGCCGTGACGTAGAAGAGCCTCTTTCAGGAGTGAGAGGATAGTTCAGTCTCCGTATCTAATCCTTGGCCTCTCTGATAAGTTACAGATTGAAGTTCTCTAAAGTGGCACCCTTAGGACTTAACTGGTGCCATACTAGAAATTTTGCCAAACCATGGGATATCAGTTTTGTCTAGCAGTATTACTAGGGTTGCCAGATGGTCTCCCAAAAAATACTGAACACGCAGGCTAAAAATGTGTCAAGCAAAAAAAACAAAACAAAAACCACCACTGCCACAAACACACACGCTATGTTTAATACATAACTTTATTATAAACAGTCTTTATTCTACACCATCTCTGTGTAAAGAGGCTTAGAAGTAATTGTGCAAATGTGCATGCTTTTTTACTGCTCCACAACGCGCTTGAACAGCGCTCAGGAGCACAGGACAGGGCTTCTCCTCTTCCCCAAGGTGTCACTCCAATGTCAGACGCAACCAGAGGCTCCCAGCACCGATCGCGGCCCTGCCTCCCAGCCACTCCTCCCACCCCTGCTAGGCTTCTAGGCTTCTGAGGCACCCAGAGTGGTGATCGTGGCCCCGCTTTCCAGCTGGGACTCCCAGGCTGGAAGGCGGGGCCACCATCGGCACTGGGAGCCTGTGATTGTGCAGAAGCCTGGCGGGGGGAGTGGCTGGGAGGCGGGGTACGGTTGGCGCTTGGAGCCCTGGTTGCGTGTGAGGAGGAGGGGCAGCCCAATCCGTGCTCCTGTGTGCTGGTCAAGCGCATGGTGGAGCTGCAGCCGGACTGACTCGTGCCTCGTCCGAACCATGTGGGGGGCAGGATCGCCCTGGGATTTGCACTCCCCCCCCCCACCCCTGCCAGGTTTCTGTCGGTGCGCAGCTGGAAAAATCAGAAAATACCGGACATTGCACGTGTGCGGTATTTTCTGTTTTTTTTTTTAGCAGACAGAGTGCAAATACCAGACTATCCGGTAGAATACCGGACATCTGGCAACCTTAAGTATTACCAACACTTCCACTGCTTACTGGGCTCTTAGAAGACATTTAAAGGTATATTAGAGCTAAATAACAGCACAAAACACAGAGTCAAGATTGGTGGCTGTAAACAAATTTTATGGGACCGTAAGTTTCAGAGGGGTAGCTGAGTTAGTCTGTAACTGGAAAACCTTAATGAATTAGGAATGTAATAGTATAGTTCAGGGGTTCCCAAACTTTTTGAGATGGGGACCAATAAATCCATTCACGAGCTTTTGGAGGACTGGGAACAAATATTTGAATATTAATTAAGCAAATGATGAATATGCAAATGAGTTTCTGGACCTCCCAAAGCCCATCAGTGCCACCTTTCGCAAAACTTTTGATACGGTCACCCACAATATTCTTGCCAGAAAGTTAAGGGAATATGGATTGGATAAGTGGACTGTAAGATGGATAGAAAGCTGGCTAGACCAGGGTTTCCCAAACTTTTTACTTTAGTTGGGACCCATTTTTTAAGTACTGTTTTTTGCAGCCCAAAAATATAAATGCATATTAAGAAAAAGAAATGAAAAATGAATACATTTTCAATGTGTATTATTTATTCACAATAATAACAGTACATAACACAAATCTCAATTACAATTTAATCAGTAGAATTTTAACAGTTATAAAGTTTGTTTATAATTGAATGAGTTGAATACAAGTCATTTGTGTGCACTTTATAACTTTTAAATAACTAAAAAGAGAACTAATGGGAAGGGTGATGTTGTTTTGCATCACAGCAAATTTGTCAGGAGCAAAAGAAGAAAGTTTTATCATCAACTCTGGTTCAACATTCAGGCTGTTTCTATATTTATTTTTGAAGAAAACCAAAGATGAGAAACTAGTTTCACACTTATATGTCGTGACGAAAGGCATTAGGAATTTGACTTTCTCAAATAAATGTGAATATTCATTTCTACAGCTCAACCAAAAATCAATCAAGGAGAGTTTATCAAAGTTCTCTTTTAAGGCAGAGTCACAGGAAAGTTAAATTAATGAATCCACTTCTGATGCACTCAATTGTAGTATTTCTTCATTTTCGGTGTCAACAGTAAATGGGTTCTTAATCCACATTTTACTGGCGTCAATTGGAGGAAAATATTCATTTAAACTTGATGTTAGCCCCAAGAGGTGTTCTTGGATTGCTGCAGAAATCACATCTGAGATATTAGTTTCAGCATATCTTTCTTGTAATTCAGTTAAAGTACAAAAAGACTTAGTTTCTCTTGTTAACTCGCTGTGCCCATAAACGAAGTTTTTTAATTATCTCAACTTTTTCGTGAACTTTGAAAATATTAATTTTAGTGCCTTGTAAATTTAAACTTAAATCATTTAAAAGACAAAATGTCACATAAGTAAGCCACCATTGTTGACCAATCAAATTAATGAAACCTGTCTTTAAATGTAAATATAACATCTTTTGCTGATGGAGAGTGTTGCTCCAAGAACAATAAAACTTCATCCTTCTTTTCAAAGAGTCGTTTCGAAATTTTTCCTTTCGACAGCCATCGAACCTCACAGTGTTAAAAGAGATGCTCATGTTCACTACCTAATTCGTTGCACAAAGCAGTAAAGATTCTGGAATTCAAAGGATGAGATTTTATATAATTTATAAACTTCACACATTCTTGAAGAGTGGAGCTCAAAAATGATGTCTCAGTTTTCACAGCTAGTGCCTCTCTGTGAATACCCCTGGGAACTATAGAAGAGTCGACTAACCAATAAAATGTCATGAGGTTTACTCGACTCTTCAATTAACCGATATTTAACATTCGTACGATGAATAGTCTAGCAGCACCTTTGAGACTAACAAAACATTTAGATGATTTTATGGGACCATGGGGAAACTTGGTCACGCCTCTGATAAGCGGGCATCCAGCTAACTAAAATCATGCTGGACCATGGGTGCGGCCAACCTAAAGAGGTTCAACCTGTACCAATGTTTTTCAGACAGACTGAACCTGCCAAAATATTTGCAGTATTACTACAGAGCTGCTTGTAATTATTATTTCCTTTTTCTTTTGATGCTAATGTTTGATGCAGGGAAGGCCCTCACTCAGCTTAAGACTTTCTGGCTCTCTTGCATTTGTATTCTTTTTGCTTTTTTGTTTCTTTTTACAGTTCCATAGGAGAATTTATAAAGGAATTCCACTGCAGCTGAGAGGTGAAGTCTGGTGTTTACTACTCGATGTCCCTAAAATGAAAGAAGAAATGAAAGACTTTTATAATGTAAGTTTACAAAATTTCCCTTTAGAATTACCAATCATGCACTCTTAGATACTAGGCAATATTGAACCTATATTTTTTGAAATGTAGCAAAAGGAGTTGAAATTGTATTGAACTGTGTTTTCAACTGTGTAGCCAAAGAGAAACCCAGGCAGGCTCAGCATTTTATCCACTTATTTTTTGGTTTTGTAATTTATGTAGTTTTTCTGATTCCCTCTCTCCATCAGTCAACTAATTAAAGTGCAGTTCTACTGAGAAAAATGACTGCAAAAGTAGCATCATTTTGTTTAGCAGAATCTTTTACCAGTCCCCCTTTTAATTCAGTGTAAAAAGTAATTTTAGGGGTGTGTGTGTTGTGTGTGGCTTTTTCCCCTTGTATTGTTCATTTGTTTTTTATTCTTATTAACCAACAGAACTTTGGGGGAGTGAGCTACCACATGTGTGCATACTTATTTCAGAATTAATCCTTATTCTGAATTACCTTAGTTTACTTTGGAAATGGATTAAGCTAATTTGAAATAAGAACATCGAAACAATAAGAAATATAGTTCATCCATTTCAAATTCACCCTGCTTTAGTCTGGATTAATTTTCATGTGCAGACAAGGCCTAAAAGAACCCTTAAAGCCCTGTGTTAGAGAAGAAATAGGCGACCCAGGAGCGGATGGGGTAATAGGATCTGCTTTATTGCCTACGCATGTTTACCCCAGACATTCAACACAAGGTCCGAGTGGCAACAACCTGGTGCCTATTAAACCCTTTTATCTGTTTTAGTATGTTAATTCATGTCTATCACTAAAGCCTTATTTAGTAATGTTAACTCCCATAAAACAAATATTAATAAGCAAATTATGAATACAGTTATACCCACTCCTAATTACTATATATATAATTTCTAATTGACTCTACACTTTTATACTACAAACTAACAAGTTACAGAGATTACAAGGAATTTCACCCTGAAGAAATGTTATGCAGAGCCGATGAGGATAAGCAAGAGACATAATAGAGCAACTCCATACTTGCCTGATTTCCCAGGTTACGGAAAAAAAAGAGAGAGAGAGAGAGAGAGCAAGTTCATATATATCAAAAGATAATACTGGTCTCAACCAGACCCTATCTTCTCAAACTACAAAAACAAAAGGAAAAAAGCATGTTTAAGGTAATGCTGTGGCTGAACCACTAATGCAAAAGGCCATTTCAAACCTATTAATTTTTACACAGCCCAAGTTTGTACACACCCTGTAAGTTTGATTTTTGCTTTGTAGAAAAAACATTCTAATCATTAGCCAGAAAGTAAGCTTGGAGCACTGAATCTCATTATCTTGCCCATATCTAGTAAAACTTTCACAGTGCTTCCCAATGTTTTCTTAGAACTGGAGACAGATTTCTTTAAAAAGAAAGTATAGTAGTAAATAAAAATATTTAGCTGTAAGTTTTAAAAACAAAACAATAATTGCAAGTTGTCTGACTCCAGAGGAGTTTCATGTATCTGAATGTTTGGTCAGAAGCAAAGTAACAAAATCTAGCTTCAAGAATAACCAAGATGAATTAATTTAATTTTTGTAAAGCACTCTGAAGATATAAAATACTCTGCAAATGTTGATTACACCAAATCTTTGTTAGTTTGTGGTAATTACTACAATATCGAATTTACTGAATTTTGAGAACTTAAGAGAACAAGCACAATAAAAATAAAATTAGGCATCGTGGAGTGTGCTTTATTGATTTATTTTGACAGCTATAATTTAGTTTATTATAATTAGCATAATGTCTTAGCCAATATTTTAATAGAGTAAAGTACATTTCTGTAGATTTTTTGTTTTGTTTTTTGCTTGTAAACATATTTTAAGTCTTTGGCTTTTGAGATGAATTAGAGCTCTCTGTTGTTAAATCTTTGCTGAGAATTGGAGGTAGTAATTTTACATAACATATGGACAATTGAGGTTCTCCTGAATTCTCACAAGAATGAAAGTACCTATTTATAAATCTAACAGAATTTACAAGCTAGTCACTGAAATTAGTGGTGAGGGAACTTTGTACATAGAAAGTAAGCCTCGACCTAAGAATAACTTTTGATGCAAACATATTATGGTGGTTGCAACAACAATGTGTATATTCATATCACAATCCAATAATGTCACAACATCTCATAGCAAAAATGGCTTTCCACTGTCATTCCACGAATACTCAGTGTTCGCTGACCTGCTAACACCTAGATTCCTTAAGAGCATTGGGAATCTTCACTTTAGCCTGGGATCTTAACCTTGTTCTGAGTGCTTTGACTAGAACTCTCTTTGAATCTATAGTAACTTGCACTCTTTCAACTGTCCACACGAAGACAGCATTTCTAATTTCCAATACCTCAGCCAGCCACATAGGAGAAATAGCAACACCGATGGCACGTCCACAATGCACCTTTTTTAAAAGACAAAGTAATTCTGAAGCTGCGTTTCCAATTTCTCTCTAAAGTTGTCTCCGCTTTCCATATGAATCAATAGACTCACTTTCCTGTCTCCCCTCCCTCACATTCATGGCATCAGGGAGGTAATTCTGCATATGCTACATGTTAGAAGTAGGGATGTTAACATGTGTTTATTTTTGTAGATGTGTAACCACTGAAATTTTACAGTGGTTACACGTTTACATGCAGGGGCCAGATGGGAGTCAGTGCTCGTGGGGAGCCGGCTTTTAAGACGGCTCCCCATGAGCATCAGCTCCTGCCTCCCTTTCCCCACCTCCCCTGCACTGCTGCCTCGATATCAGAGGGCCTTCCTCCTCCCCGCCCTGTTGCCTGTGTGTGTGTGTGTGTGTGTGGCGGGGGGAGGGGCAAGGGAGGGGAAGGCAGCACCACAGAAGCTGCATGCATGCACATACAGGCTTCTGCCTGCCCTCCATTCCCCCATTGCTGCCTCTGTGGGAGACAGCAGCATGGGGGAAGGCAGAGGCAGCTCTACAGGAGCTGGCATGTGCAGGGAGCCAGTTTATAAGCTGGATTCCAACATGCACTGGCACCTGCCTCTGATACAGAGGCAGCTTGTTGGGGAGGAGGGCCTGTGTGTAACCATTAGGGTTAACCGAAGAGGCCCAGGCTCATCCGTTAATCATGTAAATGGTTACACGTTCACATCCCTAGTTAGAAGAGCACTAGCATTCTACTTGGGAAGGACTGAGGGCTTCAAGAAGTCCCCTAAACTCTTCCTTTTGCTCATGGAAAAATCCAAATGCTTCACAGTATTGATTCCAGCACTTGCCAAACAAGTTTAAGGTTGTATTAGTCATGATTATAAAGGACGCAGCCTTCTTCCTCTATGTACAGTTCATATGCACTCCATGAGATCAATTTCTACCTTGCTCAGTCACGTTCCTTAAAGATGTCCCTATCTTGGAAATTGGCAGAGCAGCAACTGGGGCTTCTGCCCATATTTCTGCACCAAAAAACTAAACATTCTTCATAAAAATAAACAAAGTCTGCACATATTATTTTGAATAAATACGTAGGCTCCAGCATTGTGGGGAGCACAGAGCACTGGCTGCATAGAGTTGGGAGATCACCCTGCAGACACCCTACCATTATCTGGACAAGGATTTGGCAGTGAGGCTGCGCTTGACATTGATATAGCATATGTTGGGCCTGCTTCAGAAAAACCCCAGGGCTCTGCCTCTCTCCGCAAGGTGTGGTCAGGCAAGCTCAGTCCAACAAAATCCAAGTGTAGAGGGGTTTGGTGTGGTTTGAGAGGGTTCTGCGTGGAGCAGTCTGGGTACAAGTGACTCAATGAAGGGTCTTGAAAAATCTGGAGGCATAGGGAGCTCGTTGGGGTTATTTGAGGTCCAGGGGAAATGAGACTCGGAAGGTGGCTCATGATCAGCAGGAGGACCATGAATGTTGGGGGGAGGAGGGCAACTCAGCGGGGAAATCCAACTGCAGAGGGAGTGGGGCTTGATGTGGTGCAGCTGGTTGGGCTCAGTGGGCTGCAGGAGGGGTGGGCTCATCAGCACAGGATTTAAATGAGCCTACTTAATGAGCGAGCCCTAGTTGGTGCTGCCACTGAGGGAATTCCATATGCTGGGCTTTTAGCACTCAATTCTCCATCCCATCCTGTTCACCATCCCACCCCCCTTCTCCACTGCCCCTGCCCATTTTCTTCTCCCTTCACTGACACATCCGCCCCCTCCCCACACACACATTTTCCCCATCCCCATTGCCCATCCCTACCCCAGGCACTCATTGTTATAACAGAAAACAGGATGGCTCCCAGCAAACAGAAGAGGAGCACAACTAGCACCAGAACCCAAATGGCATAGTCTAAACATCACCTGTGAATGCAGAAAAGGGGGACAGCGCAGTGGCACACAACCCCTCATGCCTTCCCATGCCTTGCCTCTGTTGGGTTGGGGGTAAAACAGTGTGCCTAAAGGTGTCCCCACCCCACATGGCTTCTCTTTGCTTTCCCATCATTTTCTGTAGTAAGCATATAAGTTCACAATTTACAGATGTTTTTGTCCACTAATAAATTCTGTGGCCTTAAGTAGTTTATCTTCCTATTGTAGATGTCAACAGAATTTTGCCTAATTTCTTTTCTTTATTGCCATTTTTCCTAGAAATTAAAACATCGAGCACGAGGTTCTTCACCTGATATCAGGCAAATCGATCTTGATGTAAATCGAACATATAGGGATCATATCATGTTTAGAGACAGATATGGTGTTAAGTAAGTCAATCAAAATGTATTTAATTCAGTCCTTACTTGTTTGCCTGTCCAATAGATTTTGACCTGTCTAAAACTTAGTTTAGTACTCAAGAAACTTGACAGACCTTTGAATGTAAACATTGCAGATTTCAGAAAGTGCTTAAAGAAATGTAATTGTCTCTGAATATTCAATTCAAAATCAGCTTGTTTAGCCTCCAACCCTGCCAGCTTTGCTCTTTAATGTGCAAAAAAAATGGTCACTGGAAATCTAAATGAAAAAGTTAAAATTGTTTTCCACCAGATGCTGTAGACTTTTTTTTTTTTACTAAATCTGAGAAAATTTGTTGGCCTCTGCTTAAATTGAAAGCAAAGAAAAAACTAATTATTTAATAAATTATTTATATATTTGTGAAATAATGTTATAATAACCATTTCTTCTCTAATAACTGTAATCTACCTCTGTAGCCGTTTAGCCTTCCCCAAGATTTTCTATTTTTTCCCTCTTTCATAATATAATGGAGAACCAAATAAAGCAACATTTTAGCTATGAACATGAAAATTATTTATATAATTAAACCTTGCAGTCTTAATACTTTTCAACTTTTTTGTAATATTTTTAACGTTGTATAAAGAATATTAGTTAACTATTTACATATTTTTAACATAAATACCTGCTGGGACAAATGACAGCATTGTTCTTAGGCTTCGGGATCAACACCCTGTTGAGATGAATGAGACTGATCTTACTCCTGTTCAAATGTATCATTTCATTCTTTTTTAGTAATGTCTTGAAGACCTCAGCGCATTAGTTCACCTTCCAAAGGTTATATTCACTTTTTTAGTAATGTCTTGAAGACCTCAGTACATTAGTTCACCTTCCAAAGATTATATTCATAGTCATAAGTTCAGTAAATTAGTTATTTTTTACTACTTTGTTTTTCATATTATTATAGCATGCTGTATAGTATACTAAAATCTGTGCCCTTGAGAATGTAGAGTCTCAATAAAATCCTTAAATTCTCTAGAAATCTAGAAATACACCTTTTGGGCAGTAACCCTTAATCTCTGGTAGAATGTGTAATATTGTGTATTTCCAGTGCCACTTTAGATGTCATTTGGTGAAAGTTTAGTAACCATATCCTGCACTAAATCCATGGAGTGCAGTTATTTTTTTTCTTGAAGTAAATTGCTCACCTTTTTAGCAGTTTGTTGTCTGTGAATGTTTTTGTGTTCATCCTTTTTTAGTCTGTTAGTGGGAACACTTAGAGTAAATAGTACTAAAATGATACTAGTTTCAGGTAGTTAATGCTAGACAATAATGATATTGTGCCGTTTACATTTAGTTTTTGATTGGCCACTTCCCTCTGTTGTCTTTGTGTACAGAGTCCCTTTAAAGTTTATTGAAGCCTCATAATTGTAGCCCTACCAAATTCAGTGTTCATTTGGTCAGTTTCACAGCCAGAGGGTTTTAAAGTTAAAAATTAAAGCAATACATATTAAAATATACGTTGTTTTAAAAAGTAAGCTAAACATTTCACTGTCATGACAACAGAAATCACAAATGTCAGAATATTTTGTTTAAAATATATACATAAAGATAAACAAAAAAAATTAGTGAAGGAAGTTTGTGTGTTTATATAAAAAATAAAGGGAAATAGTGTGTGTAAGATGTCTTTGCTCAGTTAAATCTGATTCCAGGAGAAGTTAGACCAAAATTTTCTCATCTAATGTATTACTAATTTAGTATTCACAAGCCTGACTTAAGAATGTGTAGTGTTTCATACATACATTGACATTAAACCTTGAGAGAACGCTGAATGCTCTTTTTTGTTTTAAAATTCTTCAACTGAATTAATGAAGTGTGATGTAGTTTTTTAAAATGCTGAACACAATCTGTTTATGAAGTTCAAATGTAGATACGAATGAAGCCTTTTATTCTCTTTTTTGTTTATCTGCCAACACAGATTGTCTTTAAAGTGTGCCCCCTTTTTTCCTTGTGAAGTGGATCTGTGTTGGATGAATAAGAAAAACTGTGGCTAAATGCAAATTTTCATCATATGAAAATAAACATGCTTTAATCACCCAATGCGCAATCAAAGACCAAATAAAGCAAAATACAGAAATTCCCCTTAAAAAAATAACTCCGGTTTAATGTCTAGTACCATAATAATTCTTCATCATTCTAACAGTTAAAGGCAGATAGCAATTGAAAGTTCCATTCTTTTGCCCATATTGTTTCTGTGGCAATAGTAAAACTTTGGACAAAATATGCGAATTGAAGGCTTAAAATATCTGTGGCAATAGTAAAACTTTGGACAAAATATGCGAGTTGAAGGCTTAAAATAAAAAATAATCAATCCTCCTCCCTTCTCCTGACCTCTGTACAGTATTAACAGCACATCTAGTTACGTTTATAAATATGTCGTATCCACTCACATAATCATGCAGTGAGCATGTTCAGAGGAAACACCGTTAATAGACATACGGAAGGTTTTCTCTAAGTTTTACAAACTATCCTCTCCTATCACCATTAATGGAAAATTTAACATTTTTGTTTGGTCAGAAGAGGAGGAACAAGACATTTACAAGTTTTGGTTCAGTGATGGGGAAGGGAAAGAATGCATTGGGTATGTAGGCTAGCTGACTAGACCTGTGCAAAACTCAGCAGCTTAATTTCTGTGCTTTCTAGTTTGGGTTGATATTGGCCGCATTCCCAAACTCTCATTTCTGAACAAGCCTTGATGTTTAAGTTTGCTGAAGTTTACGCACAGTTCCAGTGAATCTTGTGTTTCATTATGGAAGTTATTCAGTGACTATACAGCCAGTATTACTTAATCTTGAAGTGGAGAGGAAGCAGAATCCACACTCTCAACTTTAATGGATTAACAAATAGTAATTTAACAGGATGGAGTAATACAGAAAGAAAAAGAGAGTAATTGTTAAACAGGGCAAAGCATTCTCAAAGCATGTATGAGAATCCGTAAGTTGTGTAAGACCAAGTACAGGATTGGGAGTCAGTCTTCCACGTGCTGTTCCTGGGTCTGCCACTCTGTGCTGTGGAACCTTGAAAGTCATTTAGGCCTAAATTTTCAAGACTGGTCTCTAAATTTTGTGTGTTTCACTTTAACTCAAGACATGTTGGGCCTATTTTCTTTCAGAACTGCTGAACACTTGTAACTCCCAGTGAAATGAATAAAAGCTGTTGGTGCTCAGTTGTTCTAAAAATTGGGTCCAAGGAGTGTCAGATCTGGCACCCAAAATTAGTTGATGCGTTGGAAAAGTAACTCTTAGTCAATCTAAGCCTCACTTTCCCCATCTTTAAAATTTGTATGTTTACCCACTTATATCCTGGAGGGTTATATGGATTAGTTGTTTTATGTACTTTGCACATGTAAACCATTATAAGTAGTAAGTATTGTTTGATTATATTACATCTGTTTTGATTATAAAGTGTATTTCTCTTAAAATTAAACAAATTAAACTGGAGAAACAGATATACATGTATCCAGAAAGTAGATTCAGTAGTTTTGTTTTTCTGTTAAAAACAATGTTAAATATTTTCATTTGCTTACTGTCTTGTTTCTCCAGGCAACAATCCTTATTCCATGTTTTAGCTGCATATTCAATATATAATACGGTAAGTCATGTTTCCTGTACATTTGAGATCAAATATGGGCTTTTTAAATAATGTTGCAAAAATTACTGAAACCGTATCTCTTGCCACACATAAAGAGCTGAACCACTGCCAGCTCAGTCTGGCTGTAGTGGAGTTGGGAGCTTGAATTCAAACACTGTTTAAGTATTTCTGTTTGAAAATCAAATACATTACACTGGGGTTGGACTGGGTCCCCGGAGCCTATGGAAATGGAGCCTCTGGTAGGGAAACTTTGCAAAAAAAATTTCTTGGCTCATCTCCACTTGCACTGGCAGTACTAGGAGAAGGTAGTTTAGTTGGAGCCACAAGCTGCTGCCAATATCTTACTGTCAGCTCGAGAGAGCTAATCAATACAATAAAATACAAACAGCCCATCAACATTAGAGCACCTAACACTGCTGGACATGAATGTATATTAGCAAATTTTAGAGAAAAAAATTCTTGTGACTGAGGCATGAAAGGGCTGTTCTTTACAGGTCAGTTTGTGGGGTCATCTGATAGGCCACCATTTCTTGTCATGGGATAAGAGGGAAGGTCCTCTTATGGATTGGTAACTGGTTAAAAGACAGGAAACAAAAGGTAGGAATAAATGGTAAGTTTTCAGAATGAAGAGAGGTAACTAGTAGTGTTCCCCAATGGTCCGTACTGGGACCAGTCCTAGTCAACCTATTTATAAGTGATCTGGAGAAACAGGTAAACAGTGAGGTGGCAAAATTTGCACATGATACTAAACTGCTCAAGATAGTTAAGACCAAAGCAGACTCTGAAGAGCTTCAAAAAGATCTCACCAAACTAAGTGGCTAGCAAAATGGCAAATTACATTTATCAATATTAAATTTCAAGTTATGCAGATTGGAAAAAATAATCCCAATTATACATACAAAATGATGGGGACTAATTCAGCGCTCTCAAGAGAGAGATCTTGGAGTCATTGTGGATAGTAAGGATGTAAGCAACTAGTTGACACTATCTGATAAGCATAAACTTATTGGATAGTAGACAAGTCCCTTGACTAGTTGCTTCCTCCTCCCTCCTTGCTGCCTCTATTAGAAGAAGCAGGGGAGGAGATGGTGCTAGGGAGAGCTGGCTTAAAAGCCGGTTCTCCCCCAGCACCGTCTCTGTGGCGGGCAGGGGGTAGTAGGACCAGGCACTAGGCGGGAGTTAGCTTATTCCTGGCTCTCACTCAGTCCCAGATGCTGCACCTCTGCTTTTTAAATGTATTAAGAGCCTGCCGCCGTGTATCAGCCTATAAGCATAAACTTATTGGATAGTAGACAAGTCCCTTGACTAGTTGCTTCCTTCTCCCTCCTTGCTGCCTCTATTAGAAGAAGCAGGGGAGGAGATGGTGCTAGGGAGAGCTGGCTTAAAAGCCGGTTCTCCCCCAGCACCGTCTCTGTGGCGGGCAGGGGGTAGTAGGACCAGGCACTAGGCGGGAGTTAGCTTATTCCTGGCTCTCACTCAGTCCCAGATGCTGCACCTCTGCTTTTTAAATATATTAAGAGCCTGCCGCCGTGTATCAGCCTATTAAATGTATTAAGAGCCATTTAAAAGGCTGGTACACAGTGGGGAGGACCCAGCATGAGCAGGGAATCAGCTGTCCCAGCTCACGCCAGATCCCCCAGCTTTCACTTCAGCTTTTTAAATGTGTTAAGGGCCAGGGCCAGGAGCTAACCCCACTGTGGCTCCCTCCTATATCAACTAGTTGACGGAAATTCCATCGACTAGTCGATTGATGGATTAAATTTTAACATCCCTAGTGGATAGTTCTCTGAAAACATTCACTTACTGTGCAGCAGTAGTCAAAAAAAAAAATAGAATATTAGGATTCATTAAAAAAGGGATAGAAAGTAAGACCGAGAATATCTTATTGCCTCTATATGAAACCATGGTACGCCCACATCTTGAATACTGTGTACAGATACGATCACCTCATCTCAAAAAAAGTAGATTGGCATTGGAAAGGAGCAGCAAAATGAGTAGGGGTTTGGAACGGTTCCATATGAAGAGAGATTAAAACAACTGGGACTTTTCAGCATGGAAAAGAGGAGACAAGGTGGGGGATATGATAGAGGTGTATAAAATCATGACTGGTGTGGAAAAAATGAATAAGGAAAAATTATTTAATTGTTCGCATAACATAAGAACTAGGGGTCACCAAATGAAATTAATAGGTAGTAGGTTTAAAACAAACAAAGGAAGTTTTTTTCACACACAGCACAGTCAACATGTGGAACTCCTTGCCAGAGGATGTTGTGAAGACCTGGACTTTAACAGGGTTCAAAAAAGAACTAGAGAAATTTATGAAGGTTTAGGGCTATCAGTGGCTATTAATCAGGATGGATAGGAATGGTGTCCCTAGCCTCTGTTTGTCCGAGACTGGAAATGGATAACAGAAGAGGAATCACTTGATGATTCACTATTCTGTTTGTTCTCTCTCTGAGGCATCTTGGCATTGGACTCTTTCGGAAGACAGGATACTGGGCTAGATGGAACTTTGGTCTGACCCAGTTTGACCATTTTTATGTTATGTGCTCATAACAATTCTTCTTTGAGAGATGTGCGTGTCAGTTCTCCACTGTAGGTGTCGGTGCACCCCTGTGCCACTGATTGGAAGTTTTTAGAGCAGCGTCCTCATGGGCCGTGCAGGCACAGGGGCTGTTTGTGCACCTCTGTGCTTTGATGTTGGCCCCCCTCCTCAGTTCTTTTTCTACCGTCCCTGGCCTGAGGCGGTGCTCCAGAGCATTCCTCAGACTGAAAACTAGTTCTTCTTCATCATCTACCTTAGTTGGATAATCAGTTACCTATTCATTAGGTAAGTTTCCTTAAAGTACAAGGGGAGGTACCAAACATGTCATTAATGCGTAAGATGACACGGTGTGTATTATAGACTGTTAATTTGTGTCTGTAAATGTTGGGGTACCTCGACTTAACTCTTTGGCCAGCCTGTGGGGCAATAGTGAAATCCATACTATTGATTGAGCCAAATCCATTGTCCCGGGGACAAATCTGTTGAGGCTCAAAGGCCATCTGGCTACTGACAACTATTAATGTGCTTTGTTCCACAATAAATCTGACTCGGGTGCCTTCATATCTTATCTGAGTCTGTGATCTTTGGGGCCTCTCATAATGTCTGTTATGCTAGCTAACTGCGCAGAGATGAGATGATATACTGAAGGAGCATACAAAAATGCATGCAGCCTAACATTTATCAACACTAACAGAGCAGACCTGTCAGAACGCCACATCAGTGTATCCTAAATTTACTCTATCACTGTCCTAAATACTACAGGGCACAAAAAGATAGGGTCCTAAGAGTCAAACTCATCATTATGGAAAAGTCTCTTTGCCCTGTCTCAGAACCGGGCCCCAAACCCTCTCTGGTTCAATCTAGTCCTCAGTTCTCCCTCCCTCCAGCACCAACAGTGCTGTTTCAGCTGCACCACTGCTGACCTCAGTGCTGTCCACCATTACCACACCACCAAATGATGGCACTGTCACTGTTGACAGTCCCACCATCTTTATCATCAAGTCCAGCACCTCTGACCACTTCACCCTTCACACCAGCACCGCAATTGCACTCCACAGCGACCTCCTTCTGTTGCAATATTTAACGCTCACAGCACCATCTCAGATACCCTTTTCCAGTGAGATGATGAAAATAGAGGCAGTTTTTTTCACCTCATCATTCCCCTCCTACTTTTCTACCAACTCCATCAGCTCCATCATGGTCAAGATCATCTTACGCCAGGGATTTCCCTTTGTGGTATGGTCCTTCATGGATGGGGCCTCCTATGTCTTACCCTGGACAGTGCAATGCTGGAGTCCATGAGCACCTCATTATAGAGGGATGTCTGCTAAGCACTGCCATGCTGTGACTCGCAGCAAATCTCCTTCTCCGTCCCCAAACCCTCCAGCTACAAGGGAAAAAACCTTTTCCACCACATCAAGTCATTGGCCCCAGATACCTCACCAATTCATCTTCCTCACCAGACAAAACCATTGTTCCATTTCCCTCCTCCTCCCCTCTCCTGACAGTGGATGATTTCACCCATTTTCAGGAACTCTTCAAGAAGGTAGCTACAGAGCTCTACATCACTCTTGAGGAAGTTACAGAAAATTCTGAGCTTACTAATATTCTGCAATTGGCATCTTTGTCTAAGATGGCCCTGCCTATCAACCCTGCTGAAATAGACCCTGTCCAAACCATCTGGCAAACACCAGCCACCATAACTCCCACATGTAAAAGAGTGGACAGGAAATATTATGTTCCTCCTAAAAGTTCGGATTTCCTCTTCCCACACCCAGCCTCAAATTCCTTGGTTGTTGAAGCTGCTCACCAAAAGAACAAACAGAACTGTTCTACTCTTTCTGACTGAGATAGCAAAAGGCTGGATCTTTCTGGTTGTAAAGTTTGCTTTTTCTACCCTACAGTTTAGAGTAGCCAGTTACCTGGCCCTCCTCAGCAAATACAACCAAAAGAACTATTCTAAGTTTATTTACGTTATTAATGCCATTCCTGAGGCAAAGAGGCAGCAATTCAAAGTGATGATAGCAGAGGATCATCTTCCACACTGTGCTTCAGGCTGTGCTCACCACTACAGACATGGCTGCAAGGTCTACAGCTACTGCCAGTCATGCAACCAGTCTCCTGGCTTAATTCCTAGTCTTTTCCATGGGAGATACAATCTACGGTAGAGGACCTCCAGTTTGACGGAGAGAAACTTTTTACTGCTAAGACAGTGAGGTCCTCCATACCATGAAGGACTCCAGGCCTGCTTTCCATTCTCTTCGCACCCATATACAGCATGTAGGTGATGACAATATAGATATCCACTATACCCAAGACCATGTTACCCTGCATATTCACAACAGCCCTAGCGACCTTATAATCAGCATTAACCTCAGCATAAGGCCCATGTCTCAGCACAGTCCAATAATCATATTTGAGGAAATAGTTGAGGGTTTAGAAAACCTCTCTCTCCAGTTCTGACAACATCTTCAAAAATATTTGGTCACCTATCTCTTCCCTTTCTATAACAATCAGCATGCCATCACCTCAGATGGATTCTGCAAACTATCAGGTTAGTCTATACCATCATCTTCATATCAGTACCCCTTACCCAACTCCCCTTCCTGGCCCTATTCTGGGAAGACTCTCGTGAACAGGTGCTTCTCTAGGAGATTCAACGTCTCCTCCAACTTGGAGCTATACAACTCGTACCAGCACAGTCTGGGAGGGAGGGATTCTATTCCCACTGTTTTTCACAGAAAAGAAAAATGGAGGATGGCACCCAATTCTTAGTCTCAGAGCTCTGAACAGATCTGAAAAAATCAGTTCTGGAGCACTGGTGACCATCTCAGTCATTATTCCTCTGCTGGAGCAGGGAGGTGGGTTTTCGTCCCTTGACCTTCAAGATGGATGTTTTCATGTAACTATACATCCAGCTTGCAGACTTTTTCTCTGATTTTGTTCTCGGTCACAATCACTACCAGCACAGAATCTTACTTTTTGTGGCCTCTCCACAGACCGAGAGTTTTTTCCATGATTTTGGCGGTAGTAATTGTGCATCTCAAAAAGAAAGGTATTATTGTTTTCTCATACCTGTATGACTGCCTCCTGAAGTCACCTTCCCTACAGGATTCCCAATGAAGCATCCTTACAACCATCTGTTGTTTCCAAAACCTCAGCCTACAAATGAACAAAAACAAATCCACACTCAAAAGCTATAGTTTATAGGAGCTCTATTAGATGCAGTAACTACAATTGTGTGTCTTCCACATGACGGATTCAGCAGCATCAAGGCCTTGGTAAACAAGCTGCAGAGTAGTCCTCAGGTAACAGCTCACGACTGTCTCCAACTACTCAAACACATGGCCGCCTACAATGTAGTGGTTACTGGAAAACGGCATCTGAGAGAGGTCATGATACAGTGCTGTTATACAGTATTTTCAGGGATGGTTGAGTACAGTTTACAGACAAAACATTACTTCCTCAACAAGCTCCTCTCCATCCCTCCTGTGGCCAAATGTTCCCTTACTTGGTGGACACAGCGGTGGATATAGGGCAGGGCAAGCAGGGCAGCTGCTCCGGGCCCCGCGCGTTAATAGGCCCCGCGCCAGCGCCAGGGGCAGACTGGCCTGGCGGGATACCGGGAATTTCCCGGAGGGCCATCCGCCAAAGGGCCAGCCGGCGGCTGCTGGAGGAGGAAGGGGGAGGATTGTGGCGGGGGGGTCCCACAGCCCCACACTTTTGAAATTCCCCAGCGCCGGCTAGTACGGGCCACGTGGGGCCGAGGGAGCACATGCGCGGTGTGCTGAATGCCATGCAACAGCTGAGAGGGGAGATGCCCGGGTGTGGCATGGTGTGACGCCACGGCCCGGGACTTTAAAACCATGGCCCAGCGTTGCACTGCACGGTTCGGCACAGACTTTAAAACCACATGGCCCAGCGTTGCACTGCACGGAGGCACGTAGCCTGGGCCAGGGCCACGGCCGCCCTGCACACTGGAAGGAAGAAGGTGGGTGGCAGAGGAAGAGGATTGTGCTGAGGGGAGGGGGGCAGGTCAGGAGAAGAAAGAGGAGGAGAGATGACATGCCAGGGGCCCAAGTGGAGGCAATGAGGAAAAGGGCAGGAGGGGAGGTGGAACAGGGTGATGCTGGGAGAGGAGAGGGTAAGGGCATTGGGGGCTAAAGGGAGGAGGGGGAGATGCTGGGAGAAGGCTTGAAAGGAGGGGTGGGCGTGAGGAAGGCGGGGATGGAGCAAGGCATGTGTGAGGGCACATGGGCATGAAGAGAACGGAGGCAGAGGGTGGTGAGGGGGTGGGCATCAGGGAAAAAGAGGGCAAAGGGTGCAGGGGCAGTGAGGGAAGGAGGAGGCACCAGGAGGGTGCAGGGGTAAGGGAAGGTGCAGGTGCCAGGGGATTCTGGGGGTGAAGCAGAAGGGCAAACACCTGTAGGGGAGGGACCAGCACCAGAAGGAGAGAGGCAGGCAGGTGTGCAGAGGGAGGTGTTAGGAGAGGGGATGAGGAGGGGGTAGCTCACATGATCACTGTGGGGCTACTGGAGGAGTGGGCATGGGGGGGGACCCCTTTTTTCTGTTTTTTCTCCAAAGGGGGGGGCCCACGATATTGTGCTGCCCTGGGCCCCGCAAAACTCTCATCTGCCCCTGGGTGGACAATCCTGTGCAATCTGTTTGGGGGGTCCCCTTCACATGACAGGAACCATCCAGCACTATCATAATAGACACCTCCCTCACAGAATGGGGAGCGCACCTTTTGGACCATACTGTTCAGGGTCTGTGGTCCACCTTAGAAAGATCATTCCACATAAATGTACTGGAGATTTGAGTTGTCAGGTACACTTGCCTCCAGTTTCTCCCTTTCATTGAAAGCATACATGTCCGGATCTACACCAAAAACATAGCCTGCCTGTTCTACATAAACAGGCAAGGCGGAGCTCAATCCCACATGCTTTGCACAGAATCCATGGCGCACTGGAATGGGTGACTCTGATACAACATAATCTTCACCCTGATATGTACTATTTTATAGTTACAGTGGAGCACTCACAGGGGGAATCTTGAAGAGGTGATTACTTAGTGTTGATTGTAAGGTGTTTAGGGTTACAGTTAGGATTAAAACTGATTGCTTGGACTGGACTTCCTTTGTTTTCTACAGCACATTATTTCGATAAGTAATTTATTCTACATGGAAGGTGCTGTTTAAAATCAATGGGTATTGTATAGGCATTGTTGTCTTTAAACAAGTAGAAAAAATAGTATGTAGGCTTGTTGCATTTTTCTTTTATTTGTATCAGACTTCTTAGCTAGCTAGTTTCCTTTTTATCTTTCAGCATTAAAGCAAATTAAAAGGCTTTCTTGGCCAAAGTGCTTCTGAAGAACCCATCTGTCTAAAAGATTGTCTCAATAATTATCTCTTTCTCATCAAATATACATTAGCAGCTGATTTTGTAAAGTCAGTAATAATCCTTACTTAAGCAGTCTGTTTCTTATTGCCGATTCCCACCATAGGAGTTAATATAGTACTACAGTAGCCTTGTGGGTTTTCCTGTTTTTCATTGCTACAGTTTTTGGAATAAGAGGAGAGCTGTCTCTGTCTCACTTGTTTATGTATCTGCCATATCTCCTTGCCATATATTATGCTATTAAACTTGCACATGGACTGTGACATAGAATAGAAAGCACATCTGTTTTGGATGTAGATTCATATAAATTATATGTGAACATTTTAAAATAAAGGATTTCATATACATATATGTTGTATTTAACAAAAGGCCAAAGCTAGTTCAAACACCAGTTGGAAAACAGTGGGTCATCACTTCTGGTATATGTTTTGTCTTTGTATAGTCATGGTAATAGAATTTAAAGGAGAATTTTAACCATGAAAATGGTGTATTGTCTCATTGTTTTGGGTTTTTAAACAAAATTAACATTTCCTGGCCTCTAAATTTCAGGAAGTTGGATATTGTCAGGGAATGAGCCAGATCACAGCTTTACTCCTCATGTATATGAATGAAGAAGATGCCTTCTGGGCCCTGGTGAAACTACTCTCAGGTCCCAAACATGCTATGCACGGTATGGAATTTCAGCTCATGTAGTTACAAATTTAATTTCAATATATCTTAATTAGATTATATGTTCTTTGAGATGGGGTCCTGTGTATTTGTGTATTTGGTGCCTAGCACATTGGAACCCTTATCTTGCGTGGTGCTATTGCATGTTAATACAGTACAATAATGTTTAAATAATCTCTGAAAAAATATGGTTAACACTTCTCTACAATTTCATATGATCGTTTAATAGATTATATCCTACAAATAGTCATCAATGAAAATTAAAGGTTTCCTTTCCTCTTACGTTGTTCTCCTTGTGTCCCATTACAATACTTGTGTGTGTGTTTGCATGTGATTTAACTGCTTAGGAAAATTCTGGGGAAAGTATTCAAAAGTTCTGTCATTTTATTTAAATGTATCAGTGTCTTTGTTTCAGCTCTTGGTGTCACTGATTTGTTCTGTAAAGTAGTGTAACAAATACCACTTTTGTCAGAGCCTTGTAAAATGCAAATGTAGCTGCTATTCCATATTAAATGCTGCACTTGCAGGTATTTATTTTTAAGATCTATGTTTCTGGACTCCATTGCTGATATTCATGAAAGTTACTTCAGTTATCTTTGCCTGGCAGTGTTGAAATTTGGTTCTGCAGACAATTATAAAGCAATAGAACAGTAATAAAAATCATAAAAACTGTTAAATGGCTGTGAAATTCACTGGCAAAGCTGGAAATCTAGTGAAAATCTGTAGTAAAAAGAGTCTCCACATCCTGGTTGTCATCGTGGCACCAAGTGTCTTCCTCTCGGTGCCAGTCTCCATTTCTCTAGCGTGGATATAGAGACTGGGGTTGATCCCTCACCCACTGGTGTGCTCGCTAGCTGAGGCATCAGAGATCATCTTTGTCAGGGGATTGTTAGTACCAAATGGAGCAGATTGTTTGCTTTCTTGGACATCAGCCAGTGTGAGGTCACTGAACACCATGTCAGAGCCACGTTTTCTCCCCCTGGTGCTGTCCTCAGCACCATGTCATCCCAGCCAGCACAGTGGCTTCTGGGACCATGGCCTTTTCAGTAGTGGCTGTGGACCCCAAGGGGTTTTCCAATCCAAACCCAGGCTTTGGATACACTCTCTGCCTCCTCTCCCAGTCAAGCTCTGGCACTGGAGACAGTCAGAACAACCACCCTGCCAATGCAGGAGGAGATAAAAGACCCACCCTCACGAACAGGGGAAGGGTAGATGGGCCAACACTCTTTATCCTCGTCCACAAGCAAGGCTATTGTGGCACCCCCAACGGGTCCCCCAGGACTTTTAAATAGGCTTGAAACTCCAAGCAGAGGAAATGGAGGAGTTCACAGACACCCTGTTTGTGGTGTTGGGTCAGGTCACCCCGGCTCAGGTGGCATTGCTCTTGCATGAGTGAATCACTAAGATAGCTGAGGCCCTGTGGCAGACTCCCTCTTCCCTCCACCTGATTTCAGAAATGGCTGAGCAGTGTCCATACATAATGCGGCATGGTTACTGTTGTCGGGCTTGTTACCAGAGGCCTGGCATTCCATTCAGGATCTCCCAGTTGATGAGGTGACTGACCATGAAAATGATCTAGTTTTTTGAAAGCGGTTTCCTTTAGGGTTTCCATAACTGCCCCCCCAGATTTAGGCTAAAGAATTAGTGTATGAATGAAAAGAACAGCAATACCCTTGATCATTATTATTCCATGAGGAGTAACAGTTAGTTCGAACTAAGGGGTTTATCTCAGAATCCCGCTTCTCTGCCGCGTTTAGACACGGGCAGTTACTTCGGGCTAGTCTCTTTCCAAAATGGCGACCAGCCGGGAATATGCTAATCAAGCACGGGATATTTAAATCCTATGCTTCATTAGCAATTTCGGTTGCCCTCATTAGCCTCCTTAGTTCGAACTAGGGGGCTAGTGTAGACATACCCAATGAGTTTTCACCCACAGTTTGTCTTCCTTGTAAACTCAGCTGAGGCAATGAAAGTCCATCTGGGTGCTTGCATTCTCAGACGTAGCACCAGTTAAAATGTCTGCAGGTTACCTATGGCCGGAGTTTCACTTTAGAAGCCCATGGTTGTCAAATTATGCTCTTTGCTTATTAACTCCACATCTGAGTGAGGATCTGCCTAACACATTCTTTCTCTACCCTTCCTGCTGCACAGGTTATGACAGCTGTGTGGTTTGTGTCTTCTCTGTGAATACACTTGGAGAGCAGACCTGCTAAGAAGGTTCCTTTTTATACTCACTGTTGAGGGCCAAAACCACACTTCAGATTTCTGGTTTTAAGAATACACTTGGAGAGCAGACCTGCTAAGAAGGTTCCTTTTTATACTCTCTGTTGAGGGCCAAAACCACACTTCTGGTTTTAACCTTTTTTTTGGACTCTGTCAATAAAAAAGTTAGCTTTGCTCACCTTGTGCTTTTATAGTGGTGCAGACTAAATCAGAGTCAATACAACTTGAATGCATCATAGCTATTATTAAATTGTAAATAGGAAAATGGCTGAGAGTTTAGCACAGTAGCGTGGACAGTAAAACCTACACTTATTTTTTTATGTAAATTATTTTGTGAGTTGCTGTCATTTTGGGTAATAGAACCAACACACTTTTAAGGCATTAGATACATTTTGTGAAACTTACCCTATTATATGTTCCACTTGTGCCTCTTTTTTCCTAGGCTTTTTTGTTCCTGGTTTTCCAAAACTGTTGCGGTTTCAAGAACATCATGAGAAAATACTGAAGAAGTTTTTGTCTAAACTTAAGCAACACTTGGTGAGTAAAGCCCATCATCTTGTTTCAGTCCAGCCAATCTGTTGATTTAGAATGCTACAAATACGGCAGATGGATATTGGGTTCTAATCAGGAAAAGTCCTATTGCTGTTACATGAATGAAGTCTTGGGGAGTTTTGGCTGAAATGGGACATTGATTGGCCTCTTAAAATCAGATAGGCAGTAACATCTCTGAGTGCTGGTTTCCTGAAAAGATTTGGGTCTTTTGTAAATGCAATCAAAGATTTTACTATTTAGCAAACTCATAGGTACTGAATGTTTTACCACATGCAGAATTGATCACATAGCCCTTATGACAGTGGTCCCCAACCTTTTGAGGTTGTCGGGCGCCAGGGGGTGTGGCCGTTCGCCCGCTGGGCGCCAGGGGGCGGGGACACTTGCGCGCCCGGGGGCGCCCCCCCATAGCCGCTTCCCCGGGGCTGGGGCCCCCCCATAGCCACGCGCCCGGGGCCGGCACTTCCCCCTCCCCCTGCAAGCGCCGCGCGCCCGGGGCCGACGCTCCCCGCAAGCACCGCGCCATGTGCCCGGGGCCAGGCCAGCCCCGAGCACCTGGCGGGCGCATGTTGGGGACCACGGCCTTATGATATCGGGAGACTTTGTAATCGGAGAACTCACTTTTCTTTCAGTAGTGTTCCTATGGGTGCTCTACTTCAGGTGCACATGCACATTTTGATCAGAGATTTTCTATTAGCTGTGTGTGTTAGCACGGTTATGTATCCAACATATCCTTGTGCCTCTCACAAGCATATATAGGCCTCTTTGGGGAGCTTTCCTCATTCCATCTCAGGCCATGGTGGTTGAGAAGGAAACCTCTGGGCATCTGCCCTGATCATGCTTCAGCTATTCCTGTATACATTGTACCCATAGTATTTTGGTTTGCTATTGGTTTAGCGTTAGTTTTTTTATTAATTACATACAACTACTATGTAAATAATGAAATAATTGATTTTCTTTCGCCTCCCTCAGCTTCCTCTGGGGAGCCTTACTTTCCTGTCAGGGCATGTCTGGCTTGCTAGTTTTCAAACATTGTCCTGTTGGGAGACTGTCCTGGTTAGCAGCAGCCACTATCGGAAATGCATTTTCTGAATCCAGAGCAGGGAAGAATGTGTAAATTCAATTGAGGCTGCTGCTGATAGAGCGCTCCCTTCACCCTGCCTCTGAGTCAGCCTCAGGGAAACCTTTGAAGAAGAGGAACTTGGACTCTCATCACAAGAAGCTGGCTCCTAAAAGGCCTCAACCTCCAGACTCGATACCATGTTACCTGTGGTTTTCTGAACCTGAAGCTGTGGGAACTAGTCTTTGTTTTCCAAATAGGCTCAGGACATAATTCAGTGAGGACTCGGCCCTTCCATGTGTTAAATGATTGGTATACACAAGAGGGCTTTCCCCAAACTCTTTGTTTTTATTGAGTCCAAAGTACAAATCTAAAATAACAATAGTTTAGACTGGAAAGTCTCAATCTTTTTCCTTTTGAGGCCCCCCAACGTGCTGTTAACATTCTACAGCCCATCCATGCCACACAACTGTTTTCAGTAGATTAAAAGTCAGGGCCAGAATTAGGGGGTAGCAAGCAGAGCAATTGCCAAGGGTCTCATGCCACGGTGCCTCCCAAAGTTAAGTTGCTGGAGCTTTGTCTTCAGCTCGGGGGAAAAGCTCAAGCTTTGGCTTCAGCACCAAGCGAAGGGGCTCATGATTCAACTTTCTGTCATAGGGCCTGGTGAATCTGACATTGGCCCTGCTACTGGTTTATTTTGGAGGACCCCCTGAAACCTGCTTCAGGGCTTTCTGTTGTGACCTGGGGCAGAGTACTGGAGTGCAGGGCCTGGGGGCGGGTATGGATGCAGGAGCGAGGGGCGTAGGCTTGGAGCGAGGGAAGGGCTGCAGTGCTAGAGGCAGGCTCTGGATGAAAGACTTACATGGGCGAATCTCAACCAGCAGCCGAGCAGATTTCTCAAGCAGGCTCCCTGCTCCAGAGGCCATGTGCATCTGTGAATAGTTGCAGTCCTGAGGAAGGAGAGGAGTATGTTGCCCACTGCCTCTTCTTCAAACACGCAGCTCCCAGTGGCTGCAAACTGGCCAATGGGTTTGTGCTGGGGGCAGGGGCAGTGCGTGAAGCCCGTCCCCTTCCACCCTGGACTTGCAGCTGTTTCAAAGAGAAACAAGGCCCTGCAGATGCTTTTCTAAGGGATGTGTGGGGACAGATAGAGTTCCCTGTAAGGTGCGCATCATGCACCGAGAATTTCAATCGCACCCCCTTTCTCAGCATAGCGGCTGCCAGAGCTGGAGCTTGGGCCACAGTATTAAAAATAGCACTGAGGCTCCAGCTCCAGTCCTGGCACATGGGGCAGCTGGGACCAGGGTTGTGTGGCGGCTGTTGGGACCAGGACTGCGGTACTAAAAATAGCACTTCAGCCCTGACTCAAGCCCTGGCACTTAGGGCATGGTGCCCTGAGGAGTGAAGACAGGCTACTACCGGTGCTGCCCTCAGCCCCATGGGAAGCGGGGAGGAGGCAGCAGCATGCTGGTAGCTGGGTTTGGCCTTCAGTTAGCAACCGAGTTGTGTTTCTTTCTTCCCTGGGAGGCCCAAGGGCCAGTCCTGTATTGCACGCTGGGGCCACCCTCCTCCCTGCCTTCCTTTGTCTCCCAGCCCCTGCCCATTTCTTCACCCCTCCCTGTAGCCCTGCCTTATCTTCCCATCTCCTGATCCGTCCTTCCCATCCTCCTGGTCTTGGCACTGCCTTCTGCCAGCTCTTCACTAGAGTTGGCAGCTCAGTGGTAGCAGACTTGGTCTTTCAGCCCTGTCTCGCACACCCCACACTGGGACGCTACACCTCGGCTCCCAGAGCTGGTTCCAAGGGGGGAATGGATCCCCAGGCTCTGTGAATCCACCAGTGCAGAGAGAGATTGGGGACTGCTGGAAAGCCCTGGCCTTCCAATGCAGCCTTTTGTTCCCCCAGCCAGAAGTTTGTGCGCCAAGGCCTATCCACCCCCTCAGCTGCCCCATGTACCAGCATGGAGCTGGGGTCACAGAACTATTTTTAGTATCATGGTCCTGGCTCCAATTGCCATGCAGTCCTGGTTTTAACTGCTCCCAGGGCAGTGCTGCATGGTGGGCAGCTGCCCCATGAGCTGGGACTATAGCTGGGCCACAGTGCAGCAAGTCGTGTGTGAGGGTGCAGAGGGGCGTGAGGAGAACTGAGGCAGAGGGTGGTGTGGGAGTGGGCACCAGGGAAGAAGAGGGCAAGGGGGACAGGTGTTGGGAGGGCAGGGCAATGAGGGAAAGGGGAGGCACCAGGAGAGTGCAGATGCCAGAGTGATTGTGGGGGTGTAGCAGAGGGGAAGATAGGGATGGGCACCAGAGGACAGAGGTAAGGCAGGTGGATGGTGGAAGGTGTTAGGAGAGGGGACAGGCTAGAGGAGGGGTGGGCATGGTGGGGAAGGGAAGAGCAGGTGCAGGGATCAGAGAGGATGGGGAGGTGGGGCAGATCCCAGGAGGGCTGAGAGGGAGAAGAGCAGGAGTCAGGACAGCAGAGGAGGGGGAGGAGTGGGAGGCAACAACAGGCACCAGGGGAGCCGATGGGGCAAGGGGAGGGTGGGAGACATGGCAGCAGAGGGGAAAAGGGAGAGGATTATAATTTGGATGCCACAGTGGCACACATCTGAACACAACCTCAATATTGGTGCACAAGACCAAACGCACTCCACTTATGGATAGAAAATCTTAGAGGGAATACTGGGGAACAGGGCAGAAAGCTGTTCTGCAGGCCAGATCCGGTGGCTTGGTGTGCCAGATTTGGCCTGTGGGCTGTATTTTGCCCAGCCCTGGTCTAACATATGTATGGCTGCCACTTGGGCTTCGGTATGTACATTTTCTAAGCAGTCTGTCTTGATCTATGCTGCCAGATCCTATGTGGCACTTGGTAATGCGGCACTATCTTCAGTTCTGAACTCACTTCCTCCTTTGGGGGAATCCTGCTTGGGTGTCACTTGAAGTAGATGAGGAGTCCTGTGGCACCTTTGGGTATGTCTACACTACAGCACTAATTCGAACTAACTTAATTCGAATTAATTAATTTGAACTAAACTAATTCGAATTAGTGCATCTAGACCTAAAAACTAGTTCGAATTAGCTAGTTCGAATTAAGGGCTGTGTAGCCACTTAATTCAAACTAGTGGGAGGCTAGCCCTCCCCAGCTTTCCCTGGTGGCCACTCTGGGCACCGCCAGGGAAACTCTACTGCCCCCCTCCCGGCTACGGTGCCCGTGCCAGGGGCAAGCCTGCCAGCACCCAGCCAGCAGACCCTGCACCTGGCACGGCACGAACCAGCTACCCGCAGCCACCCAGCCCTCCGCCTCTTCCTGGGACCAGGCTGGCGGCTCCTGGGAGCTTGCCCGGGACTGCAAGAGGCGGGCGCCCGCCTGGTTTAGTGCGGAGATTGTGGACCTCCTCCACAACCTCCGCACTAGGCACAGGAAAGTGGCCGTCTAGGGCAGGATTGCTGCCAGTCTGGCCACCTGGGAGCAGGTTTGCATGAAAATCAAGGTGGTCCACTGAGACCCCCGACCCTGAGCTTAGAATGTCCATACTGGGTCAGGCCAAAGGTCCATCTAGCCCAGTAGCCTGTCTGCTGACAGTGGCCAACCATAGGTACCCTGGATGGGATGGACCAAAGACAGTGACTAAGCCATTTGTCTCGTGCCATCCCTCTCCAGCCTTCCACAAACTCTGGGCAGGGACACCATTCCTACCCCCTGGCTAATAGCACTCCATGGACCCAACCTCCATGAATTGATCTAACTTCTCCTTAAACTCTGTTCTAGTTCTAGCCTTCACAGCCTCCTGCAGCAAGGAGTTCCACAGGTTGATTATTTGCTTTGTCAAGAAGAACTTTCTGTTATTAGTTTGAAGCCTACTACCCATTCCTTTCCTTTGGTGTCCTCTAGTCCTTCTATTATGGGAACTAATGAAGAACTTTTCTTTAT